ACACAGTGTAGTAGTCACTCTACACACACTATTAGCATGACACACAGTGTAGTAGTCACTCTACACACTAATGGCCTTGACACATAGTGTAGTCACTCTACACACTATTAGCATGACACACACAGTGTAGTCCTCTACTATTAGCATGACACACAGTGTAGTAGTCACTCTACACACTATTAGCATGACACACAGTGTAGTAGTCACTCTACACACTATTAGCATGACACACAGTGTAGTAGTCACTCTACACACTATTAGCATGACACACAGTGTAGTAGTTACTCTACACACTATTAGCATGACACACAGTGTTGTAGTCACTCTACACACTATTAGCATGACACACAGTGTAGTAGTCACTCTACACACTATTAGCATGACACACAGTGTAGTAGTCACTCTACACACTATTAGCATGACACACAGTGTAGTAGTCACTCTACACACTATTAGCATGATACACAGTGTAGTAGTCACTCTACACACTATTAGCATGACACACAGTGTAGTAGTCACTCTACACACTATTAGCATGACACACAGTGTAGTAGTCACTCTACACACTATTAGCATGACACACAGTGTAGTAGTCACTCTACACACTATTAGCATGACACACAGTGTAGTAGTCACTCTACACACTATTAGCATGACACACAGTGTAGTAGTCACTCTACACACTATTAGCATGACACACAGTGTAGTAGTCACTCTACACACTATTAGCATGACACATAGTGTTGTAGTCACTCTACACACTATTAGCATGACACACAGTGTAGTAGTCACTCTACACACTATTAGCATGACACACAGTGTAGTAGTCACTCTACACACTATTAGCATGACACACAGTGTTGTAGTCACTCTACACACTATTAGCATGACACACAGTGTAGTAGTCACTCTACACACTATTAGCATGACACACAGTGTAGTAGTCACTCTACACACTATTAGCATGACACACAGTGTAGTAGTCACTCTACACACTATTAGCATGACACACAGTGTAGTAGTCACTCTACACACTATTAGCATGACACACAGTGTAGTAGTCACTCTACACACTATTAGCATGACACACAGTGTAGTAGTCACTCTACACACTATTAGCATGACACACAGTGTAGTAGTCACTCTACACACTATTAGCATGACACACAGTGTAGTAGTCACTCTACACACTATTAGCATGACACACAGTGTAGTAGTCACTCTACACACTATTAGCATGACACACAGTGTAGTAGTCACTCTACACACTATTAGCATGACACACAGTGTAGTAGTCACTCTACACACTATTAGCATGACACACAGTGTAGTAGTCACTCTACACACTATTAGCATGACACACAGTGTAGTAGTCACTCTACACACTATTAGCATGACACACAGTGTAGTAGTCACTCTACACACTATTAGCATGACACACAGTGTAGTAGTCACTCTACACACTATTAGCATGACACACAGTGTAGTAGTCACTCTACACACTATTAGCATGACACACAGTGTAGTAGTCACTCTACACACTATTAGCATGACACACAGTGTAGTAGTCACTCTACACACTATTAAGATGACACACAGTGTAGTAGTCACTCCACACACTATTAGCATGACACATTATGTAGTAGTCACCTACACAATCTATTAGAAGATGATTAATACAGTGTAGTAGCCACATTAATAATTATTAGCATGACACACAGTGTAGTAGCTCTTACAAATAATTATTAGCATGACACACAGTAGTAGTCACTTCACACACTATTAGCATGACACAGTGTAGTAGTCACTTCACACACTATTAGCACACACACAGTGTAGTAGTCACTTACAGCACTGTTAGCATGACACAGTGTTGTAGCTCACTCTACACACTATTAAAGATGACACACAGTGTAGTAGTCACCTACACACTAGCATGACACACACATGTAGTAGTCATCACACACTATTAGCATGACACACAGTGTAGTAGTCACTCTACACACTATTAGCATGAGACACAGTGTAGTAGTCACTCTACACACTATTAGCATGACACACAGTGTAGTAGTCACTCTACACACTATTAGCATGAGACACAGTGTAGTAGTCACTCTACACACTATTAGCATGACACACAGTGTAGTAGTCACTCTACACACTATTAGCATGACACACTCAGAACCATCAAGTCATGTGACAGTCAGTTTCTGTGATTCACTCCATGTAAGAGTGAGTGTAATTAGGGGTCAAGGGTCAAACTTTTCTCTCCTTAATACAGTACAGTACAGTATTACTATACTTGATACAGTATAATAGAGCAACATATTATAAGAACATTAGAATGGAGGAAACTGCAGTGGGCCTATTGGCCCATACTAGGCAGTCCCATTTACACCCAAACCCTATCGCTCATATATCCATCCAACCTATGTTTGAAGCTATCCAGGGTGTTCGAGTTAATGATGATGTTTGGTAACTTTTTCCACTCATTAGATTTACTGTACTGTAAACTATACTTCAACACTTAATAGTTTCTCATGTTGCCTCACCTGATCTTCTTATCTAGTGAGCAGCGTACAAGCCAGCCACGTACAACAGCCTGTACCTTAACAGCTGCCTCGTCACGTCTTCGTTCCGCCGCCCGCTCTTCTCTGGCCTCTCTGGTTGCCTCCAGAAATGCTCCTCGATTACAACTGTTGGTGCCAAACATCTTGATGGAGCTGGAGGCCTCCTAGGCCTCACCCACCTAAAAAAAATAATATACAGTAAGTCCTCGTTTGACGTTGCCCCCGATAACGCTGTTTTGTTATAACGTCGCTACTCTTTAGATACCAATTATTTGGATACGTCCCAACGACCCAATTTAACGTCGTTTTTGTCGTCGTGGATTACTTTGTACGGTGTATCACCATCACTCATCTTGGCGCACTACACTCTCTCACTGAGCGTCACAGCCTCCCAAAGAGTTCCCAGTCTTTGTTAGGTTTCCACAGCATCCGTGCGTGTTTAAGTGTTTTTGCTCTTAATACTGTATTCTAACCATTCAAAATGGCTTCCAAGACCCAACAAAAGCTACTGATGCTCGTGTTGTGAAGAAGCAACGTAAGACCATTAGCCTTGCTACGAAAATGAAGGTTTTAAACCGTATTGAGAAAGGTGAACGTGGGGTGGACATTGCTGCTACTCTAGGTCTAACCTCCACACCAGTGTATAGTATCCGGACTAACCTCCGCCTATCAGTGAGTACTGAGTACAATACAAAATTATTTAGTTTATAAAATATATATATATATATATATATATATATATATATATATATATATATATATATATATATATATATATATATATATATATATATATATATATATATATATATATATATATATATATATATATATATATATATATATATATATATATATATATATATATATATAATATATATATATATATATATATATATATATATATACAGTAAAGTATGCTTTATAACTAATGGATTCTACTACTAATATTCCTATAACGACGGTTTTACCTATAAAATTGAGAATGCTATATAACGAAAACTCCTACAAGCAATTTTTTTTACTAATTAATTGTTTTTTTATTACAAGTATTAATGATATTCTTTATTTCAGGGTTAGATGCATATTTATGCACTTTTTTACAATTTTTCAATTTTATATTATATTTTCAGTGTTATGTGGTTGTATTTGGGGGCCTGGGCGGATTAATCCTATAACGATCTAATGCTATAACGAACAAGGTTCTAGAACCAATTAGATTCGTTTATAGCATACTTATAATATATATATATATATATATATATATATATATATATATATATATATATATATATATATATATATATATATATATATATATATATATATATATATATATATATATATATATATATATATATATATATATATATATATATATATATATATATATATATATATATATATATATATATATATATATATATATATATATATATATATATATATATATATATATATATATATATATATATAACAGTTAACCCTCACTTTACGCGGTTAATGTAACCCGGAGGGTACCGCGGAAAGCGAGAAACGCGTAAAGTGAATAACATAACATATGGGATTAATTGAAATGGAGTCCAGGCCGATCCCCAAATTCCACTTTTTGACGACACATAACTATGTTGTAGTAAAAATAACATCTTAATTTTATGATTGTACATGCACACAATTAATACTTAAGAGAAATAGAGAAATACAGTCGCCAAGTTAATGTCCATTCAAATAATGGACACGACTTCCTCCCCCCTCTCACACTACACTGCTGGCTCTTCCCTCTCTGAGAAATTTTGGGGGGAAAACCAGGTATAGTAATAAATAATACCTCAAACTAAAGTTAGGATAATATAAATGACATTGCTGGATTCCTTGTAAGACCAGGAATATTTTGAATATAAATGTCATATATTTTTCACAAAAGATAACATACTTACTCAGATAATACATTTTATCTAAAAATTTTATGTCTAATGCAAAATATATGATGTTTATATTCAAAATGATCACCAAATTGTAAGAATTCCAGCAATGTAAATTATATTCTGGCCGGGTAATTTGTATGAATTTTATGAGCTAAAACAAATATCTTCACTTAATAAAAAAAAAAAATATTCTTCACGACACTATCTGTCAATCAAAGTACCCCACCTTGCCTCCCCCCCTCTTCCAACCGCGAGGTCAGTCCCAACCCTCCCCCCACCCCCCACCAATCCTCCCTTCAAGAGACGTTGGGTGACAAATTTAGATTTTAACATTTTGTATTAAATAATACCTCAGATTAAAGTTAGGATAATATAATTGACATTGCTGGATTCCTTGTAAGACCAGGAATATTTTGAATATAAACGTCATATATTTTGCACAAAAGATAACATACTTACTCAGATTAAACATTTTATCTAAAAATTTTATGTCTAATGCAAAATATATGATGTTTATATTCAAAATGATCACCAAATTGTAAGAATTCCAGCAATGTAAATTATATTCTGGCCGGATAATTTGTATGAATTTTATGAGCTAAATTAAAAATTATTTCACCGTGTAAAGGGGTACACCCAATGAATGTGACGTAGTGAGGTTGACTGTATATATATATATATATATATATATATATATATATATATATATATATATATATATATATATATATATATATATATATATATATATATATATATATATATATATATATATATATATATATATATATATATATATATATATATATATATATATATATATATATATATATATATATATATATATATACACACAGTATACAGTTGTACCCCGCTTAACGCGGTTTCACTTAACGCGATTTCTCATATACGCGGTGCCTCGCCAGAACCGAACTTTCACTTAACGTGGTTCATCTACTCATATACGCGGGAAGCGGCGCGGGCACGATGCGCACAAGGTCGCCCAGTCATCAAACCATTACTGAGTTCTTCACCCGCCACCCACCACAGCCGGCCCAAGTCAGTGATAGTGATAATTATAGTGAGGATATGGACTTATATGGGCTTTGAGGGGTTTGACAAAGAGGCCCTGCAAGCCTCTGTGGTGGATAGTGATACAATTGATACAAGTGATACAGGTGAGGGCCAATAATCTGCCCTCTGCCTCGGAACCAACCCCCCATCCCCGTGTGCCCAGCCATCTTTTCTACTAATGTAAGTGTTAAAAAACCTAATATTATTGATATTTCTCTTAATTATTAATTGTGTGTGCATACCATCATAAAGTTAAGATAATATTTTTACTACAACATAGTTGTGTGTCGTCAAAAAGTGGAGTTTGGGGGTCGGGCCAGTCTCTATTGGAATTAATCCCATATGTTCTGTTGTTCACTTAACGCGGTACTCTGTGGGTTTTATTGACCGCGTTAAGCGGGGTACAACTGTACAGTATTATTGTTATTATTATTATATTAATTTTATTATTATATTTTATTATTATTATCATTATTATTATTATTATTATTGTAATCATTATTATTTTATTTTGGTGTACTGTATACCGTAATTATTAAAAAATTTATTTACTATGAATAATTAATATTATTATAATTATTATTACTATTACATTTTTGCCCCCCAGGCCCCAATGTGGGTCAGTGATCTGTGCATGGCTGGGCTAATAATCCCATGGAAATTGACGGACCATGGAAATTCATCCTTTTCCTGGGTAGATAGTGACTTGTGCTCATGCTTGGAAGCACTAGCACCACTTTCTCTGCATCATGGTCTCTTTGAAGACATATTGAAGGGTTTAATGTCGTATAGTAGCTTCTCAAATTTCGCGAGTTTTTAATTCTTAACGTATTTTATTGGAACACACAAAAAAATAAATAAATAAAAATTTTGACGGCGGAAACTTGAATTTCGACGGGTTTGAACGGCCCGCCAACGTGCAGACGACGGGCATAATCGTGTAAACAGCGTCATTTCTCTTATGTACAAAAGATTCATTATTGTTTATTACTGAATGTCTTTTCTATTGAATTAATGTTTATGTGTGCAAAATGAGCAATACAATTCATTAATAATACGTAGAATATTAAAACACACGAGGAAATGACACAGCATTGTTTTCGTTGATTACAAAACCAGTGACTGACTGGTTCTACATATAAAACTGAAGAAAATAAGACCTTGGCTGTAGCTGTAGTAAAATTAATATGGTTGTTTTAAGTATGTTATTTAATGTTAATAAATGGAACAATAGAAGTAGCTAACGATAATGGTAAAGAAAAAAGAGAGATTGCATATGTAGTGCGCATGCGCACACGTGAAAACATATCATCATTACTTTACATAAGAATATGAAAGCAACACTTATTTACTGTTCATATATATTTTAATTAATGTTTCTGAATTTGTTTTTATTGAATTAATGTAAGTGTGCAAAATTAACAATACAATTTATTAATAATACGTGGAATATTAGAGGAGACGAGACGGCTGCCGGCATTGTTTATGTTAAAGCTTACGAAACCAGTGACTGATTGGTTCTACATATAAAACTGAAGAAAATAAGACCCTGAGTTTAGCTGTAGTAAAATTAATGTAAAAAATGAATATGGTTGCTTGAAGTACCTGTAATGTTATTTAATGTTAATAAATGGAACAATATAAGTAGCTAACCATTAATGGTAAAAAAAAAAGTGAGACTGCTCGTATGTAAGTGCGCACATGTGAAAATATATCGTCATTACTCTACATAAGAATATGAAAGCAACACTTATTTACTGCTCATATATATTGAAGGGTTAAATGTTGTACTCTGTATAGACAAGCAGAGAGAGAGAGAGAGAGAGAGCAGCCGAACTGCCGGATGTAAACAAACCTTAATTTCCCGCTGGCTTTTTTTTTTTTAAGGGGATTAGCCCACCCGGGAATAGGTCACTGACCCACATTAGGGCCTGAGGGGCAAAAATTTAATACTCCTGTAATAATAATAATAATTCAGATAAGAAAAAAAAAGAAAAAAGCTGCCTATCTACCTATTGGACAAACTAAAATCGTTCCGGACCACGGGAGTTTCCGGACCACAGAATGCCGGACTAGAGAGGTACAACCTGTATTTTATAATTGCAGTCATGTACTGAATATTCTATGTAAAAATATAAATTTTAAATGAATTATTTCTAGTGTGGTCGACTTCCTACACA